GAGTCCATTCCGCACCTGGGTTTTGCGAGCCACCGCGGGCTCAGAAGCTCGAGGAACTCACGCGCAGTGGTGGGTGCAGTTCAGTTCAAAATCCAAAGGTCAGATGGGGAGGGCTAAACGAAATGTTGGGCCAGCGGACGTGCATTCCACTCCTGGTTCTTGCAGGTGGTGAGATCAAAGCCCCTCAGTGAACTCATACACAGCAGGATGGCTGTGTTGCAGGGACTCCTGTTCACCATTACAGGCAAATCTTAATATCTTCCCCCATCTTCTTAGTAAGATCGTTTGGTGGGAGTTACACAGTGCAATCAGATTTCACTCAATCGTAATCTATTCCAGACTGTCTCAGTGATGCACAGATGACCTGGGGCCTCTGGCCGCCAATGAATCAGCCACGCTTTTCCCCAGGCCACTCCAGAAACCAGTTTCTTTCTCCTCTCAGCTGTAAGTTATAATTCTTTACATCTACTGTAAGTCATAGTAACTGAGATAACCATTAAACAAAGAATGTGGTCTGACTCCCACCCTCTACTAAAGTCAGAACTCAGGCTCATCCCATTCCTGTTTGCTAGCAGATCATGCCCTCCACAAGGGCACAGGCTTATGGAATCCAGAATTACCATATATCACATAGGAGGTTATGGCTGGAAGGGCCATATGAATAGAAAATAACTCATAAAAAAATGGAGGCTAGAGAAGAATGGATGCGATTTTAAAAAGTTTACTAGGCACAGGGAGCATCCTATCTGTGTCCTCGTCCCACTTTCTGTTGGGATCAGTCTCCCTGGCTCAGAGGTCACAGGCAGGGCCTCCCTAGACACGGAACAAAGGTGGAGCCGGTGACACATGAACATGGAGAATAATTAGTCATGCAGAAAGAAAAGGAAACTTTGCAAACCATACAAAATATAAATCTAAATGAAAGGTAATTAGGAAAATATGGCTATTATAAACATCACAGTAGGTAAACATTTTGGATTGTATGAGGACAGCTCCTTGGTGACTTGCTTTGACTATTAAAATGGATCGGTTAACAGAAAAGTCAGTAGCTTGAGCCCCCTAGACCAGTGGTTCTCAATCTCCCAATGCCGTGACCCTTTCATACAGTTCCTCATGTGGTGGTGACCCCCAACCATAACATTATTTTTGTCGCTACTTCATCACTGTCATTTTGCTACTGTTATGAATCAGGCGACCCCTGTGAATGGGTTGTTCAACCCCCAAATGGGTCACAACCCACAGGTTGAGAACCGCTGCATTAGCCACTCAAGAGAAAGATGAGGCTTTCTGCTCTGATAAAGATTTACAGCCTCAGAAACCCACAAGGGACCATTCTACTCTGTCCAATAGGGTCATTTTGAATCAGAATCAACACCATGGCAGTGACTTTGAGTTTAGCATCATGTAGGTAAAATTACATACCTATTCCCATAAAGGGTTACAGCCCTGGAAACTCACAGGGACAGTTCTACCCTATCCTATAGGGTCACTATAGGTTGTCATCCACTCAGTAGTGAGTTTGCTGACCTGCACACCAACCTCCAACCACTGCTGACAAATGGATCTCAATTGATAGCTACTCTTTAATACAGGAGCCCTGGGACAACAGTTGAGCTGCTAACTGCAGGGTGGACAGTTCAAACCTACTAGCCACTCCATGGGAGAAAATTAGATGGCCTGTTGCCATGAAGATTTACAGGCTAAAAACCCAATACAGGGTCACAGTGACTCAGTAACAGTGGGTTTGGCTTTAGTTTATAGAAGAGGCAAGAACTGGCCCATGGTACTTTCAAGGCTTTACTGAAGTAGACTACAGCATTTTTCTCTCTCAGCTCTTAGGTTTGAACCTCTGACCTTTTGGTTAGCAGTTGCACACTTTAAGTGCTACACTACCAGGGTTTCTATCATTATATTTACCTAGCTGGTGGTACTATGCCAAGTGTGGTAGATATATATAATCATTTGTCAATTTGAGGATTGAGTGTAGGGGTGGAGTCTAGCTTGTCAATCAGATCATAGCCAATGAGGCCTCCTTGGAGGCGAGAGACACTTCTCTCTCTCGCTGTCACTCCCTGGGAGACATTGCAGCTGACAAGACACATGGAACTACGCTAGTGACCTAAGTTGGAGAAGCTCCATGGACTTACCCTGATGCAACCAGACCTCTGAAACTGGAGAAGGCACCTAGAGACCCCTGTCAGCACTGAGATGCTTACAACACCACTGGATCCAGAGACTCTACTCACTGGCCTGTGATCATCCTGCAGTCGGTGTCATTGCATGTGGTTCATGAGTCTGAAGAGGACTTTATAGATTGGTATCGGACATATGGGTCAATATCGGACTTATGGACTTGATCTGGACTGGGCTGGGATGTTTTCTCAATTTCAATTGCTCTTGTATATAAATCTTTTTCTTATTCACGTGTTTATGAATTTGTTTCTCTAGTCTACCTAGACTAACACACGAAGGCATTCAACTGTGTGAAACATACACTATGGATAGCCTTAAGAAGACTGGGAATTCCGGAACACTCCATTGTGCTCATGTGGAACTTGTACATGGATCAAGAGGGAGCTGTGAGTGCAAAGCAAAGGACTACTGCATGGTTGAAAGTCAGAAGTTGTGTGTCAAGGTCGTGTCCTTTCACCATACTTAATATGTGGCACAAATAGAGAAGCTGGATTACATGAAGAAGAAGGCGGCACCGGCGTTGGAAGAAGGCACAACCTTGCTTGTTGACAGTGAGGACTTGGAGTGCTTGCTGATGAAAATCAAGGACGGCAGCTTTCAGAATGGATCACAACTCAGTGTAAAGAACACCCAAATCCTCGCACCTTGACCAAGAGTTAACATCATGATAAGTGGAGAAAAGGCTGAAGTTGCCAAAAATTTCATCTTGCTTGGATCCTCAATGCTCATGGAAGCAGCAATCGAGAGATCCAACAACATATTGCACTGGGCAAATCTCCTGCACAAGACCCCCCTTTTTAAAAAAATCAGTTTATTAGGGGCTCATACAACTCCCATCACAATCCAGACATACATCAATTGTGTAAAGCATATTTGTACATTCATTGCCCTCATCATTCTCAAAACATTTGCTCCACCTAAGCCCCTGGCATCAGCTCATTTTTCTCCCCCCTCCCCCATGACCCCTTGATAATTTATAAATTATTATTTTGTGCACAAGACCCCTTAAGGTGTTGAAAAGCAAGGATGTTACTTTGAGGACTAAGGTACCCAAACCTGGTATTTCCTATTGTCTCCGATGCATGTGAAAGTTGGACATTGAATGAGGAAGGCGGAAGAAGAGTCACTGTGGCTGCAACAAGGGTCAGGTGTAGGGAGAAGTGTGAGGACGGCGCAGAGCTGGGCAGTGTTTCCTTCTGTCATGCATACTAAGGGTCACTCGATGGCACCTAACGAGCAACAAGACGAATCAATGCATTTGAATTATGTTGCTACGGAAGAATACTGAAACTGTAGACTTCCAAAAGAACTAACAAATCAGTCTTGGAAGAAGTACGGACAGAATACTCCCTTCGAAGCAAGGGTTTTTTAGACTTTGCCTCTTGTACCGGACATGTTCTCCAGTCCCTGGAGAAGAACATCTTACTTTGTAGAGGAAGTGGGGGAAAGGAGGGAGACCCTGGACAAAGTGGGTTGACAGTGGCTGCAACGGTGGGTTTGAAAATAAGAACGATTGTGAGGATGATGCAGGACCGGGCAGTGCTTCTTTCTGTTGTACGTAGGGTAGCTATGGGTTGGAACAGACTGGAAGCCACCTTACAACAGCGTGTGTGTGTGTGTGTGTGTGTGTGTGTGTGTGTGTGTTTTTCACTGGTTTTATTTCTCAAGAGAATTCGGCCTTGTCCTGATATGAAAGACAAACAAATGAAATAATGACTTGTTTTCAAAATATCCAACAGCACAGGATCATTTCTGCTCTGCAACCTAGGCAACCCCTTGGAGAGGAAATGCCTTTTTTTTTTCCTTCCTTTTCCTTCATGTTTGGGAAAGACATTAAACGACTGTGGTTCTTGGATGCAATTAAACTATCTTGTTAAAATACATTTCTTCGAGGAAATCAGAATCTCTAGTCAACTGGATAGCAGTGGTGTTTTTTTTTTTTTAATTTTTATTAAATACATTTATTGGGGGCTCTTACATCTCTCTTTTTTTTTTTT